CCGCCGCCCTCGCCCCCCGCGCCCGAGTGGCCCTGCATCAGGGGGCGCTGGGAGTCGGGCTGGGGAAAAGAGCGCGCTGGGCCTGGGGCCGGGACCTCGAGCGGGGTTGGCTCATCGCCAGCTCCCGCGACGCCCGCCTCGCCACCGAGGCGCACGTAGTGCGCGGGGATCACCAGAGTGGGCATGACGTTGCGGTAGACACTGTCCTTGAGGTGGTCTATGGAGCCGCAGAAGATGAGCTGCCCAGCCTGGCTGAGCGACGGCGGCCGCGCCAGCTGGTCCACTGACTGCGACAGCAGAAAGTCGGGGGTCTTGCTCTCGGCCGCCCCCTTGTGGCCCAGGTAGTGGTCGAAGGGCGGCGGCGGTGAGGGCGGCTCGTGCAGGAACGCCGAGGCCCCCGAGGGCCCCCGCCGGTACTCCTCGAGACTCGGCTCCAGCCCTCCGGGGCCCTCCAGAGAGCGGGCGCCCTTGAGCCCGACGCCATCTCCCCCGCGTGCACCCGAAGGCTCCGCGGCCGGGCGGCTGGTAGGGCGCGGCTTGGCGCGGAAGAAGTCGTCCCGGGAAGTGGCCAAGTCCCGGGAGCTGGAGAAAGCCGAGTGGAGTGGGCCTGGAGGCGGAGCCTCAGGATCCCCTGACGAGGCGGGCTCCAGAGGCCCCCCACAGATGAGGTGGAGCTGGGACATCGAGGTGGCCTGGTCTCGTTTGTTACTGTCAGAGGGCCCAGTGAGCTGCAGCTTGCGGTGCTGCTGCCTCGGCTTCAAGCAGCGCCTCCTGGAGAGTAGGGAGCAGAGACCTTCAGGAAAGGGTGCAGCTGGAGCAGCTTCCTAGCCCTGCACTTACAAGATGAGGGACGAATATAGTTTGGGGAGAATGCTGGGGCATTCAGGAGATGTGGAGGGGTGCTTAGAGGGGACCTGAGGGTGGTTTGCAGAAAGGGCTTGCATGTCTATAGGAGGTTCAGCCAGTGGTTGTGCTCATTTGGATCCCCCTAGGAGCCCTGGTGGAGGCCTGGAGATACAGTGGTCAAGACTAACCAGAAAGGTTGGCAGTTCAAATCCACCAGCTGCTCCTTGGAAACTCTACAGGGGGCAGTTCTGCTGTCCTATAGAATCGCTATGAGTCGGAATCGACTTGACAGCAATAGGTTTGGTTTTTTGGTTTAGGAGCCCTGGTGGTTCAATGGTTAAGCGCTTGGCTGCGAGCCAAAAGGTCAGTGATTCGAATCCACCAGCCGTTCCACAAGAGAAAAGGCCTGGCGATCTGCTCCTGTAAAGATTACAGCCTAGGAAACCCTCCCTATAAGACAGTACTACTCTGTCATACAGGGTCCCAGTGAGTCTGAGCCAACTCTGGGCACACAACGACAGGGTTAAACGACATTCCTTCATTCATAGGAAGTGCGGTGAGAACCTGGGAAGAGCATCTCAGCCAGCTGGGGTGTCATGTCTGGCCTGAGGTCCCCTAGGAATGAGGGCTGGGCTGGTAGGAGCAGCTGAAGATTGTCTCATGAGGATCCTGCCTGCAGGTCCTGCTCCCAACTCTCAAGCTACCAGGTCTTTGCACATGCGTTTCCTGTCAGCACCTGAGGCTCTGACTATGCATCTTTGGGGCTCCAGCGCCCAGTACAAGGCCAGGGCCTAGCGCGGACATCGGTCAGTGCATCGGATGAGTGGAGGGGTGGAGGGCAGGCTCAGGGAGGCTGAGGCATGGAGGCCCGTGCACTCACCGGCAGTAGTAGATGAGTAGACACAGCAGAATGAGCACCAGCAAGGCCAGGGCTGCCAGGATGGTGAGCAGGAAGATGGTGTGGTAGGTGCTGATGTCCTGGATGCCTGACGTGATGGTGACCAGCCCTGTGCCAGGCAAGGGCTTAGCGTTCCAGGTGTGGATGCCTTTCTGCCTTTCAGAAGGAGTCTACTCTCCCAGCCTTCCCTTCCAGCCTCCTGTCCACCACTGCACCCACCCCACCCCCCGCGCGTTGCCCCACACTCTCACCAGCCATGGGGGAGGCCATGGCAGCTGCCCAGTACCCCAGCTGGGAGGAGACGAAGGTCCAGTAGAGCTGCCGGCCTTCCTTCCGGATCACACCGGTACCATTGCGTACCCACAGCCCTGGGAGAGGCGAGGGTTTTATCAAACTCAGCGTCCCCCCACCTAAGCCCCACTTTCCTTCCCCAGACTCCAGCACCTGGAACCCCTGAGGCACTCACCACTCTTGGGGTCAAACCTCCAGGCTGGAATGCTGGTGCCCACAGCAAGGGCACGAGGCTCTGAGGGCATAGGCAGGGTCAGGTGAATGGGGCCCGAGAGCGGCACCTCGGTCCCATTGCCTGTCAGCAGGTGCACGCTTACAGCAGTCAATGGCATCAGCTCCAGCCAGGAGCCATTGCCTGGGGGCAGGGGACACAAGTGCTGAGGGCTAAGTCCTTGGGGGAGCAACCCCACCCTCTACCCGCCCAGCACCTAGCATACCTGAGTTGGAGGCCTCGGTGCCCAGGAAGGTAGGGAAAGCCCGCATTTCCTGCTGGGTGCTGGCAGGTGTAAGGGAGGCCCAGAGCTGGCTGTAGGTGGAGCTGATAGGCAGGCGGGCGGCCGGGCGCTGGAACTGCACCCAGGGCTGGGAGCGGGCACCTGGACAGAGAGAGGGGCTGCAGTGACCTGGCCAGGGACAAGGTTCCCCAGGGACCAGAGCGGGAAGCAAGTATCTACCGAGAAAGGGAGCCATTGGATCAGGCCACTTGGGAAGTCCAGGGAGTGTGGCAACGTGGGGAGAGAACTGGGCAGTTATAGAATGTTAACCTGGAAGGGACATGGACCTGAAATCTAGTCTCTGTGACCCTGAGCAAGTTACTTGCCCTCTCTGAAACACTGTTTCCTTATAAACCTATAAAATGATGAGGTTCAGGTCCTCAATTATTATTGTCTACTGTGTACCAGGCATTGTGTTAGGTGCTGGGTGTACAAAGATGAGTAAGACACAATTCCCTGCCTTCAAGTTCACAGTCTAGTGCAACGCTGTCTACTAGCGCACCCACGAGAACTTTCAGCTGTGATGGAAGTGCTCCTTATGCTACCCACTGAACACGTGTGGCTATTAAGCACTTGAAATGTGTGACTGATGAACTGAATTTTTTTTTACTGAAGTTTTAATTTAATTAATTTGAAGTATTTAAATAGCCACATGTAACTAGTGGCTACCGCATTAGACAACTTAGGTCTAGTTCGTGTGTGTGTATGTGTGTATGTTGGGGGTGGGGGCAGACATATAAACAGAATTCCAATAAATTTGGTGATAATAGGTAACACTTATTAAGCCTTAAGTTATGCCTGGCACTGTTCTAAGCAGAATACCTATATTAACCCCTTTAATCAACACAGCAACCTCTAAGACAAGTACCTTTATTACAAACCCCATTTTATAGACAAATTGAGGCAAAGTTGAGTAACCCGCCCAAGGTTACAAGTTCAAGGTCACAATCATCGAGCCAAGATTGAAGCCCAGGCAAACTGGCACCAGAGCCCATGCTGTCAACCACTATTCCATCCTGCTTCACTATTAAGATGGAGGGATATAGCGTGCAAGGGGAGCTTGGCTGGCCTAGCTCAGGGAAGGGCCTGTGGAGTCTTAAAGGATGAGACTCAGGCAGGAAGGAAAGAAAATGGGGAAGGACTTCCAGCAGGACTGGCCTGAGAAAGGCCCAGAGGCATGAGGAGACATCGAGGTGTCAAGGACCTGCAAGCAGCAAGTGGGTGGGACACTGTGGGTAGCGGCAGTGCCAGGGTGCTATCAGCTTTGTGAAGGAGGCTGGGCTCTCTGTTGAAAGCAGTGGGAGCCATGGAGGGCTTAAGCTAGGGAGCAACAAAATAGTCGGTTTAGCATTTTAGAAACCTCCAAAGGCATTTTGGGAATCTCTCCTGTTCAAGATCAGAGAGATGAAGGTGAGCAAACAAGTGATTTGGGAATGAAGGCTCAAGCTGAGAATATAAATTTGGGAGGGAGTTCCCCACACTCAAAAGCCCACTGTGGCTCCCTTGTACTAGCAGATGGAGTCTGCCCTCTGCCTGGCTTCTCATCCAGCCTACAGCAGGCGCTCTAGCTGCAGAGCCAGGCCAGAGTGTTCCTGCACCCCTACTCCTCCCAGTCCCCCCTCACTGTCCCCTTCTGCCCCTGTACCTCGATGACTCCCCTAGACGTTCCTCTCCACTGAAGGGGGTCTTTGCTCCTCTTTCAACTCCTCAGTCCACATAGGCCCACAGCTCCCTCCTCAATTCTCCTGCCCACCACACTCACAGATGAGGGGTTCTCCATATTGAATGCAGCTGCCTTCTGCTCCACCGCCCTGCCTGTTCTGTAATGATTTCAGGTTTGTGATGACATGTTTGCCTTCCTACTTTGTGAACTCCACGAGGTGGGGAGCAGATCTGCTCTCCCTTCCCACTGTTCCCCAGCGCCACACACGATGCCTGGCCCAGCGGAGGTGCAGAATTAAGAATTAGTTGAGCGAAACTGAAAGCCCGTGGGTGGACAAGGAGGACTGCAGGATTGCCCCTGGCCTTGTATTTGGTAGATATTCAATACCTGTGGAATGACCTTTCATGGCCTTCTAACAACTAGGTACCCAGTAGGTGTGCAACTGAAGATAAAGGTGGCAGGAAGTGGGCTTCTAAAGGAGAGAGTGAAGGGAGAATAGAAAGCATGAGAAGCCCCAACAGCAATAAACATTTATTGAGCACCTACTGTGCTAAATTCTTCACATGCTTTATGTTATTTAACCCTTACTACAATCAGAGGACTAGGCACTAGCCTTGTCCACATCTTACAGATGAACAGACTATGGCTCAGAGAGGTTAAGTGACTTGTCCAAGGTCACCCAGCTAATATGTGGAAGAACAAAGCTCTCTAAACCCAGGTCAGGGGAAGGAAGAGGGGTTGGGGGTGGGGTGGAGGGAAGCCTTACCCGGAGAGCCCAAGAGGATGTGCACAAGGTCCTCATAGAGGATGAGGGTGGCTGGCCGCTCGGGGAGCAAGTAGAGGCTGACAGACGCATACACTGCGGGAGGGGCGGCCTGTCAGCTCCACAGAAGCCGCCCCCTTCCCGGGCCGGGTGCTCCTGCCCTCTGAATCCCAGTGGCTTCATCCTCCCAAAGCCCCCTGTGCATACCCAGCCCAGGCAGCAGCTGCTAGAAGGCCTGTCCCCTCCACCCCGCTCCTGGACTATTTTGGGAAGGGGCTGTTGGAGGGTCAGCTGCTGCCCCCACCCCCACCTGCCCCTGCACTTACAGGGCAGCTTGTCAACACGCCAGGGCACCGAGTTGGTGAGGAAGCCAGGGCGGGCAGCAGTGACCAGCACCCAGGTACCCAGGCGGTAACTGAGGGGCAGTGTGGCCACGCCCTCTGAGTCCGTGGTGCCAGCGGCCAGCAGGGTCCGGTTCCCAAACACGTCCACTGAGGCTCGGGCCAGAGGCACCAGCTCCCCGCTTACATATACCTGCACCTTGATCAGGACCTCTGTGGGCAAGATGGGGTGAGGGGAGTGAGAAGGAGGGAGGGGGAGAGAGAGAGCTAGGGGAGCCCCAGCTTGGGGTGGGGGGCTCTTGTTTGGGAGAGGCTGCGGGGCTGAGGCTAGAGAAGATATTACAATAAGAGCCAACATTTACACAGCACTCATTTACGGCACGTTGGACTGTAAGGTAGGTGCTCTTACCATACTTCATCAAGTCTAACATGCACTTTTTTCACCTTTTAACATTTCTGAACTCAGGTGATACCTATAATGAATGATGTCATAACTATAATTGGCAGCATTTTTTATTTCTCACTGGTACCTGAAATAATGGTACATCTTACAGTCAATGGTGTCTTGGATTTAATAAAACTTGCTCCTACCCCATTTGATAGATAAGGAAACTGAGGCTCAAAGAGTTTAGATACTTGCAGGCCAGGCACTACAGTTAAGTGGTGAATCTAGGATCCAAACCCAGCAGTCTGCCTCTAGAACCCACATGATGGTGTCAGGGGAGAGGACAAGGATGGGAGGGCTGAGAAACAATGAAATAAGTGGAGAACCAGGGGCCTACAGGTGGAGAGGAGAGGTCAGGACTTCAGCCCTTCAGAAGGGAGGATGGAAGGCTGGGTAAGACTTGAGGTTCTCAGGAAAAAAATGAGTAAGGGGACACTAGGGAATTGGTCTTTCCTATCATTCATCCTTTTCCCAGAATCCTTTGCACAAGCCTGTTTCCCTTCAGATTTAGGGGCTCACCCCAACCCCTAAGCCCAAACAAGTACCTCCTGACCCCTCCCCCTCACATGTAAAGCCTGCCCCCTCCCAGCTGGTCAGCTAGTTGGTCACCACGGCAACGCCCTCATTCCTCCCTGGAGACGGGCAGGGAGCTGGGGCCCTAGCAAGGGGAAGGAGGTCTGGGGGGGCCGACTCAGGCCCAGGGAAACTGGTGCAGAGGGGGCTGAGATGGGAAACCTGTCTTCTGCCTTCCAGGGTGATCCCTGCCCCCAGTCCCAGGCCAGTCTGACCAGGCTGGGTCTGCAGGTGTTCTGAGCTCAGATGGGGTGAGCCAGGCCTTGAGCTGTTCCCCCGGACAACCCCTCTGATCCATAGCACTACCTACCCCTTCCACTAGCAAAGCCCCTCCTTCAAGAACATGCTTCACCCCTAGCTTGTTGCTAATAATGGGAGTCGGTGTCCTGCCTGGAAAGGTATAGGGGTACCAGTGTGGGGTCCAGAGGAGGCAGGTGGGGAGTGGGGTGGTACTGGACAGAAACCTAGTGGAGTCCATGTATGGACAGAAGATGTGGAGCTGAGAGCAGCAGGGCACAGGGAGGTCAGAGGGTCACAGGGACTTTGGGAAGGCCGGGTGGGGCTGACACTCCACATGACAGGTGTCTTATGTCAGCTTCCAATCCCAGGGTCAGCAATACGCCTGCCTCTGGCATCCCAGCCAGCTGTCCAACTAAACCCCCCTCCTGCTCCCCTCCCAAGCCAGAGCCCACCCTGACGAGCAGGCGCACACACCCGACCCTCTCCCACTGTGTGGTTCTCCCAGGAGCTGGCAGCCCCCCTCCTCCACCACCACCCAGAAGGAATTCTGAAGGAGCAGCTGGACTGAGCAGCTGGGAGCAGAGGACCCAGGAGTAGTTGGGAATATGGTCATTTGAGGGAATGCCTTGGGTTCCAGGGCCAGAGTCTCAGAGAGAGAGCTTAGGCGGCAAAACAGGGGTGGGCAGGTAAGGCCTGAAGAAGGCATCAGTGGCAGGCTGGGGCAGTGGGTGGGGAAGTGCCTAGCAGATTCCCTTCCCCCTTTCCCCCAGCCTGGGCTCCCAGCCAGGGGCCTAGGAGAGCCCCCTATCCTGGCGCTATTCCAGCCAATCCCCTGGGCTCCCTCCCCTGGGGTGCAGGGGCCTGAGGAAGGGGCTTCCTGAGAAACTAGGGCCTCTTCCTACCTAGCAAAGCCTTCTCCTCCACCCTCCAGAGAGCAGGGGAGACTGAGGCCAGGAGAGATCCTTCCCCATTCCTCAAAGTCTGACATTCCACACAGTATCCGCCTCTCCCGGCTTCAGCCTTGCCTCATTCCAGGAGGAAATCCGACCCCCTCCCTCCATCCGGACCCCACTTCCCTCATCCAGACCCCCCCACCCTCCTTTTCCTGCTAGCTACTTGGGGGGTTGGGGGTGGAGGGGGTGCAGAGGTGGGAAGGGCAGTAGTTGGGGTGGTGGGACAGAAGGCTGGGAGGAGGGTGCAGGGCTGCGGAGGGCAGAGGCCCCTGAGAGCCCAAGCAACGAGTGTGGAGTGTGGTCTCGCCTTCCCACCCTCCCCATTGCAGGAGCAGGCCCCACCCTCACCTCGCACACCCACATCTGCCCGGCCGGGCGCTGGGAGGGCTCCACTGCGAGGGAGAGGTGACATGAGGAGGGGGTACGGGTGGGGGCGGGCTGGGACGGGAGTGACTGAAGGCCTGCTGGGCGGGGACCCAGGCACCTGCCCTTCCAGCCTGCACTGCCTACAGTCAGCCAGCCAGCTCAGCATGGCTCCGCGACCCTGCCATGAGCCTTGAGCTGGGGATCACAATGTAACCTTTTTTCCAGAGCGCCCCAACTACACCGCCACTTCCATCATGGGCCGATCAGCGTTTGTTGGGTGCACCCCAATTCTCAACCTGGAGGGCCGCTGAGGGCTGTCAGGCTCCAGGGCGAAGAAACCCATTCGATCAGTCAATCCTGCCCACAGCCTCACCCACTCCCCTTTCTCCCCTCCACCCTTTAAGCCCAGCTCTAGACGGCCAGCCCCCGTCCGGGCCCAGGGTGGCAGTCGATGCCAGCGCCCCCACCCAGCCTGAGTCGGGAGCGAGGACCCCGTGGGGGGCTGCGGTGCCCGCGCCCGCCCCAGCCCGCCTCTGGGCGGGTGTCTTCAGTAGACAATGGCTCAGGCAGCGGCGCCTCGAGGACCAGGAGGGAGATAAACAAGGCGGGAGGGGGCGGCGGCGCGGAGCCCAGGGACCCTCACCCTTCCCATTGTGTCTCCCCGAGACCCCCGCCCTAGACAGCCCCCCCTCCGCCTACCTTCTCCTATAAACGTCTACCTCAGGTCACCGAGCTCCCCCCACCCAAATTCGGAGAATACCCCTCATTCACGAACGCCGCGAAGATGGGGCTGGCAGGCGGGGGCCAGATCGGGTGGCGCAGGCCCGCGATCGCGGCCCCTCCCGACTGGGACTCACCCTGCGGGCTGGGGGGCTCCGGAGGCGACTTGCCGGGAGCCCGGGAGGCGCCGCCAAGCAGCAGCCCCAGCAGCGGCAGCAGCCGTGAGAGGACGCTGGGGCCAC